GTGCGTATGATTGTGTGTACGTGTGAGAGAGTGCGTATGATTGTGTGCATGTGTAAGCGTGAGTGGTTGTATGATTGTGTGCGTGTGTGCATGCGTGTGAGAGTGAGTGTGTGTACGATTGTGTGTATGTGTGTGAGAGTGAGTGTGCATATGACTCTCTGTGTGTGTGTGTGTGTGTGTGTGTGTGTGTGTGTAATAAAGCCAAAGAATAATGCTGAGGACAGACGGGATTACAGAGAAGCTGTGACACGTTGGGTGCAGCAATAGGGAAAGGCCTGGATTTGAATACTCTGCTTCAGACCCAGTGGGACATGTTTAACCTTGCTGTGCACACAGGAAAGTGGCTGAGAGATGGCAAATCCCATCCTTTTGTCCCACTGGATATTGTGCTCCATTGACATTACCAACATTGGACAAGGCGCAAATCCGTCTTCGCCGTGCTGTGTTTTTTCACACTATCCTGTCTATTCAGGAGACTTCCACAGAAGTAAGGGTCCTGCACTAATTTGAAAGGCTTCAGTTTTTGTCAATGACGAACAGAAAAGCAGCAGAAGGCACCACAACATTCCTTTTTCCAGGCAACTCAGCAAACAGAGACAGATTGAGGACAACTACCTGTGAGGGGCATGTTCACATCCTCGGAACACTTCAGTCTCACATGCACTTGTACACTGCTCTTCACATCAAGGCTGAGATACTTTGACATAAATAAGACAAAGTAGTTGCCATGAACATGCCAGTTTTGAAAAGCATCTTGAGGGTCCAAATCCACTTCACAGACTTGAGGCCAGAACCAGGCATGACAGTGCAAGACTGAGAGAGCGCCGCACTGTCACAGGGTCACTGGTGAAGTGGCTGCTTTGAGATTAGAAATGAAACTGATGCCTTGTCTGCCTTTTTATGATGGATGTAGATATCAGAATTGTTTAGATGAAGGAAATCAGTTGTCAGTTTTGGAACTTTGCTCTTTGTAAATTAGCACCCGTGTTTCCCTCTGGTGTAACATTGTAAAAGTCTGTTTTCGACTATGTAGCACATCGGGATTTGACAGACTGTCCTGAAAGATAAGTTCTTTGTTTCTTTATGTCAGGAACTGAGCACTGCCGTCAATGAAGCGAAGCCACAGAAGATTCAGAAAGAGAGAGGTGCAGCTTGCAGGTGCGTAAGGAGGAAATTCGGTGAAAGAACTCAGGATAACTCTCTCCAAATGTCAAATTAAAACCAGAGTCTCCCCTTACCCAACAGCCCAAATTACCAACCCACCCTCCAAAAAAAAATACATTTTCAAAGGTGTCTTTTACCTTTCCAAATTTCTGCTGCAGCTGCACGTGAAGTACTCCCTGTTTTATGGCCTCTTCCATTTTGTAAAGTTCATCGTCGTGTGCCAGTTCAGATATGTCAGACGGTCCGAGCTCAGGGATTGTGGTTTCACTGTGCTTAGCAGTGTCACTGGAGGTTGGAGTTAGAGCCAGCACCGTCCCCTCACTCCCAGCTCTCACACACACACCCCCCCCAAAACCAAACTTGCAGCACATCCGAGACACAGTGCATCAAGTGACTGCAGGTGGAGCATCGTCTCCAACACAGTCAAAGAGAAACTTGTGCAGTCATACCCAGACAGTAATGAGAATGTGGAACTCACTATCACAGGGACAGGCTGAGTTGAAGGCTGTAGATGGATTGATAGCAATTTGCATGACAATTAACCTTTGTGAGTTTCTCTCCCCTGCCCATTGCTTGCTCTTGCTTGTTCCTCTTTCACTTTTGAGCTTATCACAGTTCTGCCTTTCCTCAGTTATGATGACGTGTTATCATTAAACTCTGTTTCTCTTTCCAAACAAGCTGCCTTGAACAGCTGATTATTTCCAGCACTTCGTGTTTTTACTTCCAATTCCCTGTGTTTGTGGTATTTTGCTTTTGAGTGTTGAAGTGAAAGCTGAATGAAGAGCCGAAGGAGAAAGGAACTGAAAGATACAAGGATAGGTGGAGGGACAGGTCATGTTGAGGAAGTGGGGGCGGCTGCAGAAGGACCTGGGCAGGCCAGGCAGGTGGGAAAAGTGACAGATGGAATACAGTGTCGAAAAGTCTGAGATTATGCACTTTGGCAGGAGGAATTGATGCAGAGACTATTTTATAAATGAGAAAGGCTTTGGAAATCTGTAACACAAAGTGATTTAGGAGTCCTAGTTCAGGATCCTGTTCGGGTTAACATGCAGGTTCGGTTGGAAGTTTGGAAGACAAATGCAATGTTAGCATTCATTTCAAGAGGGCTAGAATACAAGAGCAGGGAATGTAATGCTCAGGCTGTACAAGACTCTTATTAGACTGCATACAAAATATTGTGAGCACTTTTAGGCTCCATATCAAGTAAGGATGTATTGGCTTTGCAGGGGGTCCAGAGGGGTTTCTCCAGAATGATCCTGGGGATGAAGGGCTTGACGTTTGGGGAGCGGTTGAGGACTCTGGTTCTGTTCTCGATGGAGTTTAGAAGGATGATGGGGGATCTGCTTGAAATTAACAGAATACTGAGGGGCCTCGATAGAGTGGACACGGGGAAGATGTTTCCACAAGTAGGTGAGACTAGTAACCAAGGGCACAGCCTTAGAGAAAAGGGACAACCTTTAAAACTGAGATGAGGAGGAATTTCTTCAGCCAGAGGGTGGTTAATCAGTGGAACTGATTGCCTCAGGCAAAGTCATTGAGTGTATTTAAGATAAAGATAGATAGGTTCATGATTAGTAAGGGGATCAAGGATTATGGGGAGAAGGCAGGAGAATAGGGTTGAGAAACATATCGGCCATGATCAAATGGCAGAACAGTCTTGATGGGCTGAATGGTCTAATTCTGCTCTACTGTCTTATGGTCTTATGGATTCATTGCTGGGATGAGGTGAAGAGGGTTGGGAGAAGGCTTCTTCTCAATTTGAAATACTGGCATGCACCTGGTGGGCTGAACAGCCCTGTGTCATTCCTTTAACAGTTGGGTTGATGTTACTGTCAGCAACGTTTGCTGGTCAAGCTCTGTGCTTCTGACGTTGTGAAGTTTTAGCAGAGCTTAAAACTGGGACTTTTCAAACCAGGTTAAGGTCTGCCTCCATCTGGCAGCAAACAGTAAACTGCAACCTATGCTTGTTACCACAAGGAACATTTCAAGTCAATATTCTTCATGTTTCTCCTTTAGACATAACCTGAAACTGCATGTAAAAGTGACAATGGTTTGAAATTATTGCACAAGCTGCAAAGTACTCTGGACATCTTTGGGCTCATGGAAATTCCTTGACCATACAGCAGTGAGACAGGCCATTTCGCCCATTCATCTGTGATGGTATTGTACTCGTTGCTCAGCCATTCTCTGCTCAGTCTTGCCACTTATCTTTTTCTTTCTTCTCATTGTCACATACATATCTCATTTCCTTTGCAAAGTGTCTCAGCTATTTGCTTCAGCCTTCTCCTATGGTGTGAAAGATGTGGCCTTCGTGCAAGTTATTTTAAACAGAAGCTACATCAGACTATAAGACATAGGAGCAGAAATTAGGCCATTCAGCCCATCAAGTCTGCTCTGCCATTCAATCATGTCTTTGAGGTGCCTGATTGTTGGTTGTAAAAGTCAGTGATGGGTGGTCCACCAAGCATGGTTTCTGCGTCCTGCTGTCAGGGTCCAAAGTGTACAGTACCTGCAGTCAGACCAAGCTTTAGAAGACACTGAATGGAAGAAGCTATATTTCAGGAGGAATTTAGCATGTCCTCAAAGTGGATAGCATTAGCATCGGAACTTTAAACATCAATGATGGCCCTTGTCCACTCTGTAGCCAAGAACCAGGCACCATTATGGACTGGAAGTAGTCCCATTGAAGTCTGACTGTGCATTGTAATAGGGTGTTTCACAGGAACACTCAAGTCAACCTTTACATAATGACCACACATTATTCCCCAACATAGACACAGTGATGCTGCAACACTTTGGGAAGTCCAGTGAGAATCTCTCATCCAAGTGGGTCTCAAAAAATAAACCTGGTGCCACTTACAGAAACACAAGCCTTTTTGGAACCACTGATGAACTTTTGACAATGTGACTTCTACCCAGATGAAGACTTGAAAGCCAGGTGCAGCTCACAAGAAGTGAAAGGTCTCATGTAGAAGCTTCCACCTTTAACAGTCTCGTGAGCAACGTGAAACCCTGTCTGCACAAACCAGGGCAGTGTGAATAGATGATATACAAAATAACTTAAAGAACTGCAGATGCTGGAAATTAGAAATGGCTTGGAAATCTTAGCAGAGCTGGTGGCACCTGTGAAGAGAAAGCAGAGTTAACGTTTCGGGTCCAGTGACTTCTTCAGAACTGATCGTGGCTGAGGATAAAGTTGGTAAAAAATGCAGGAGATGAGGAGTGATTGAGAAGTGGTGGAGAAAAAGCCCAGCGAGAGAGAGAACAAACACATGGGCAGACAAAGATGTGGGGAATCAATTGCTGCCAATAGAGCCCAGTAGTGGCTAACAATGGGCTGTTTGCAGTAGCAGCATGTGTGTTGATAAGGCTTGGTGTGTGGGAGTTTAGGTAAGGACATGGAAGAAAGTGTTCAGGCCCTAAAATTATCAAACTCAATATTGACTGAAGAGCAGCATTAGCAGCCATTGATTTCCCCAGGCTGACCTTTACCCACTCCTTTATCTGCCCAACTGATGCTCTCTCTCTCTCTGTGCTTCAACTCCACCCATCATTTAATCACCCCCTCTCCCCAACCCCCTTCCCCCTGCTCACTGTTTCCCACCTACAGTCAGTTCTGCAGAAGGGTTACTGGACTCGATTTCTCTCTGCAGGTGGTGCCAGACTTGCCGAGATTTCTGCTTTTGTTGCAAATACATGTTGATGGGAACTGAGAACCTCACGCTCACCAGCTTGTGACTGTGATCACCCAGAATGATCCACGGAACATGTTGCCATTGATGGCCAATTCACCAATAGAATTATCACAGAATTCCTGCAGTGTGGAAGCAGGCCATTTGGCCCATTGAGTCTACACCAAGCCCTCCAAAGATCATCCCACCCAGACACACCATGTAACCCTGCATTTCCCATGGCTAATCCACATAGCCTGCACATCCCTGAACAATACAGGCAATTTCCCATGGCCAATCCACCTAACCTGCATATCTTTGGACTGTGGGAGGAAACCGGGGCAGCCAGAGGGAACCCACGCAGACACAGGGACAATGTGCAAACTCCACACAGACAGATATGAAGGAGGCTTCACACTGATAGCCTCTGCTACTCCTGACATGAATATCTGACTGAAACACTGAAATGTAAAATTATTGTCGGTGCTCTAGAGCTACTCCAGCCAGAGGGAAGGGACTTCATAATATTAATTCTTAGGATGACAAAGTTGTCTGGTGAGGAGAGATTGAATAGAATTTGATCTGATCTGATCTGCTATTGAGGTCTGTCAATAATGCAATGACAGGATTTTTGCCTTCACGATGAGATTTGTACCTGATGAGGCAATGCTGCCATTACATAAGAAACAGGTGTGGGTAAGGTTATACTGAAGGATTCAATCAATATTTATTCCAGTCCCTGGAATCTACATATATTCCAAGTCATGGGTGAAATAACTCCATGAAGGCTGATATCCTATCACTAAGTCACCCTTTATTTACACGTACATATTACATGACACTAACCCAGCTGGCTCAGATCCGAATCCGAGAGTGAGCAGAATTCCTGACCCTCCTGTTTCTATCTGTCAGCCAGGGCTCCCTGACTGGTCCAGGTTAACAGCCCCAATCAGGGAACTCACACTGTATGAGGTCCACCTGGCTGACCTCGTTCTAATCACTGCAATGGTCAATGCCATTTCTGGGCTCAGACTGAGCAATTTGGTTCCTAACTGTGGCATGCTTCTCTCAGTGTACCATGCTGCAAGTGGTCCCCGAGTGAAGCTGGACACTGAGAACTTGACAATCTCAGGTCACATGCCATGATCCAGTGATGATATTGTGAACATGTCCCTGAAAGGAATTGTTCACACTTTCCGTGAGACAGAAAAAGCCACAATGGGCCAATACTCCCTGGGATTTGGAATAATGACAACTGATCCCTTTGAAACATTTGTAATTCTGAGAGTGTTTGACAGGGTCAGCACTGAGGTATTGTTTCCCACTGGCTGGAGTGGCCAATACAAAGGGACACAGACTCAGGATAAGTATATTATCATTATGGACTGAGATGAGGAGAAACCTCTCCATTCAGTGGGCTCTGAATCTCAGGAATTCTTCACTGGAGACCAATGGAAGCTCAGTCACTCCGTTTGTTGAAGAGAATATTTTTGGTCTCTAATGGAATTGCAGATATGGGGATTTGTTAGATAAGTTGCAAAGCAGAAAATCAGCCATGATTTCAGCCGATGGGTAAGCAGACTCGAGGGGCCGAATGGCTGACTTCTGCATCACCATCTGCCGAAAGCACGGTGAGTGCAGAGATATATTAGTTTATAAAACAGGAGACTGTGAGGGAAACAATGTTATTTCATCATCTTCACTCATTCATTGAGCAAACTGACATTTCAATATTGGCTCAAGGGCTTTTCTGTACCTCCATGAGCAATGCCACAGGAGATCCACGGCACACTGTCTTCAGACAAAAGCATGGAAGTGGCAGTTGAGATTATTAATCAAGATGTGTATTTTCTCTTGACAAGCAGGGAGCACAAGAGAACAGTGATTCCCCATGACAACTCTGTGAAATCTGTCGAT